GTGTGTGTGTGTGTGTGTGTGTGTGTGTGTGTGTGTGTGTGTGTGTGTGTGTGTGTGTGTGGCACAGGGGGCGCATAAATCTGTGTCACTTCGCTAAACAGTGACGCGGTGGACGAGCGTGTTGAAAAATTAACAAAAAGGTCACTGAAGGTTTTGTTGACCGCAGCGGGGTCATTGCGCTTTTACACACTTACATTAACACTGTTGGACCAACAACATAAACACTGCGTCATTATATGCAAAATAAAATAAAACCAAGAGGCTTCTGTTACAGTTCAAACTGAGAGCATAGGAAATTACATTCTTTGCAGTGTAGTTGGGGATATTTAATATGAATGTGCCAATATTAACTTTAACAGTGATCTTGTTTTCTTTTCTTTTCTTTTTTCTGTGCTGCAGATTTCTGCAGTGCATGATGGGAAAACGAGTTCCACCCTCTGTCATTGCAAAATTTGAATATCCTATCTGACTTTTGTGAATTTCACTTAATGCTTTGGCAATAATGATTCTAATATTGCTGTGGAGGAGGGAAGAAAAAGAGGCAGGTGTGTAAAATTCATATTCCCATCGCTCCTTCCCTCCCTCCTTGCTCCATTTGCACATGACATCCTCTCATGAGCTGGCTTTTGGGGGCTAAAATTAAATAACCTCTCGGTGTCCCATTTATTCCTTTTGTACTGGAACAGCGTGGGGTTGCAGCGCCGAGGCGTTAGCTGTGGGCCATAATATTGTGTTCCCGTAATATATACAAAATTATTCATTTAGTAAGTGGATGTACAGTGGGATTGTCTAATGGGTAATGAGCGGGAGTTGGAGCTGATAATTAGGCCTGTCACTTCCAGCCATTTTCTTCTCTCCCCCTGCACGCCCCTGGGCCACGATGCAAGGGGAGGGAAAGCAAATAAAGACCATGAAATTAAAGGACAGAAAAGAAAAGAAAGGGAAGAACAGCAGATAAATGAATTAAATGTAAATGTAGAGCTAAATAATAATGCTCATTGGGATTACAGAGGTAAATACATGGTATTATCAGATTTTTAAAACACCACAGCCACTGTTAGACACAGTACACAATGCTTGTAGCATGGTAATTGCCCTATAATGGTTAAGGTGATAAGATCATTACAATTGAAAATAACCATGCATGGTATAATAAATAATTTGACTCACTGCTGGAATAAAATTAGGTTAATTTTGCAGTTTTAAAGTAAAAAAAAAACAAATTGTCCAAACTTTTTAAAGCCACCTTTCAAAGGCTGCAACTCCCTGAGAAGCTTGAAGAGATTTGAGTGCTGAAACCCACTTGGGAGATATGTAAATCGTGGCTCATGCAAAGACAATAAGTTGTTGACCCTAAAACAATTTAGCATTCTGTCACAGGCTGTGGCCCCCCTCCATAATACCACGGTCTTTTGTTGGCGAGCAAGTACCATCTCCCCCATGCAACTGAGACGTGTCACACTGTGGCAATCCATTCATTTTAATGGTGAATTGTGCGTGGTGACAGTTTGTGCAGTGTGTGTGTGTGTGTGTGTGTGTGTGTGTGAAAGGGATAGTGTGAGGGGGGAGAGGTGACTGCATGTGGAGGAAAGTTTATCACTGTCTTGTCTTTTTTGGCAGAAGCAGGCTATTCTTACAACAGGCCCGACCCCTTGTAGTCCAACAACACAAATGTCTTTGCCTCTTCCTATCCCCTCACCCTCCTCTTCCTCCCACCTCTGCTTCCCTTCAACCCCTCTGTTGTCTTTTCTCAGAAGATGCCCACCCATATATGCCCCCCTCTAATCCATTTATCTAGTTTCACGAGAGCAGCATTGGTCGAACGCTGACACAAAAGCCATCCCGGGCCCCGACCCCGGCCCACAGCCCGGGGGGGGAAAACACAGAAAACAAGTCACTGGAGCCCAACAGCATCAGCCGCAGCAGGCCCACCATCAGACCCTGCAACACTTTGTTTAGCCGACTACTTTGCTCCCTTGTTTCGGCAACACAATGGCAGGGAAGGGGACGAAAGCCTTGGTTGCAGACTTTTCATTCCAGCAGCGAGAGGCTGCTGTAAGAC